CGAGGGAGGGAACGGGGGATCCGAAGGAAGGTATCCGCCTGTAGGTACACCGACAACGATGCATTTGGAACACGCGCACTCGCCTCTCGCATTGCCCACCGCCGCCGTTCTGAACCGTCAAACCACCCTTACGTAAGTGTCGCGTTCTTCGCGAGTCTACGACCGATCGGTTTCGGCCCTTTTTCACGCTCGATTCGTTGTTTTCCAGCGTGCCACCGCTAGAGCCAATCGCTAGTCAGCCCAGCGGCGACCTGATCTCAGTCATAACTTCTACGACGGCCGTCCACGCGGAGAGAACTTAACGGAAGAGGATTTCAATGGGAAAAGCGGCTGCGGCGCGGCGAAACGAAGATTCGAAACGAATCGCGCGCGGTTCGAGGAACCGACGAGCAGCGTTGCGCCTACCGTCGATCGAACCCGACTTGGACTTTACCGACCGAGGAAATCCTCGAAGCTCGTTTCCGCCGAAACTGCTGCGTCCACCTTGTTCTCACCGGTCGAGAAACGTATCGTCGTTCCACGCGTTCGCGATTTCGCGCAACCGCCGGCGAGAATCGTCGAAAATTGTTCGCGATTCGATCGTTCGTTCTTTCCCGATTGCCTCGCGAGGAAAACCGACGCCGCGCTAGACCGTTGCGCCATCGAGGCGGCGTCGCGTCGCGAGCTCGATCGGCGCAGGCGAGTCCTCGCGTACCGACCGCGCGCCGCTTTATCGGCGATCAGGCGGCAGCTCCGCCGAGACCGTTCGCCCTCTGAAGGCGATCGAGAGAACCCTCGGGCTTACTCTCGGAGGAAGGAAGTTGCACGCGAAAGCTGGTCGCCGCGCAGCTTGTTCGCCTTTCCTCCTTCTCTACCTTTTCCACCGCTTCCTCGTTGTCCTCGTTGTCCTCGTTGTCCTCGTTATCCTCGTTATCCTCGTTATCCTCGTTATCCTCGCGCGATTCCAGCGTGGCCTGCTGCTCGATCGTAGTCGCGTCCGCGTCGTTCCCCCGGAACGCGGGACGCGCAGCCGTTGCCAGAATATTTCGCGAATGTAAATTGTAAATACGCGTCCGTGTCGTCCGTCCGGTGAACGGGCGCGCACACAGGCGCAACAGGTAAACGCGAATACGCGTAACAGCGACAGCGAAAAATCACGAACCCAAAGAGAATAGTATCGTCGCGTGCACAGCTACCGGCGTCGCAACGTCCGACTGGAAAAGACCGAGAGACTCCGAAATCGCGAGAAACAAGTTTGTTCCAGCCGAGAGTCGATCGATCCATCCGCCCGACTATTTATTCCTATTCCCATCTTAGCGGAACAGGCGTGGCGCGCTCGTGCGCTCCTCGACGATCGTCGACACTTTGTATTTCCATTCGATCCGGGGAAATCCGCGAACGCGCGGTTTTCGCGGATCGAACTTATTTTATACGCGTTCACGTTTTCAAGAGAATAAAGCGAACGAGTCTACCGAACGACCGCGCACGGCCGAGTATCGGAAATTTCGAATCGCCTACCCTAAACTCGAAGGAATCCGCAGGGGAAATGCGGTTCCAATCGCGCATCGGCTGCACCGGTCGGCCTCTTTTCGAATCGATTCGAATTCCACCATCCAGTGGAGGACGAGTGGCGAAAAAACCTTGAAAAGGCGGATTCGCGATCAGGCAGCAGAGAAGGATACGAGAAGAAGACGAGAATGGTCTCGATGAAACGCGGATCGGTGCGAAGAGCAAAAAGAACGGATTCGAGCGAGTGAACCAGAGGAAGGGGAATGCGGAGAAGACGTTGAC